TCCTGCCTACAGACAGTCCAGCTTCCCCTTGTTTTACTCTCATTCAGTGATGACTGAGCTTCTGCTCACTAAATTTTATATTCTCTTAGCCCTTACTGCTTTGAAAATGTGACACACTCTTCGTTGTTTCAGGCATTTCTGACAAACATTCCCTTAGAATCTGGATCAGCTGTTTAAGTAACTTCAAAAGAGATGGGCTCTTTCATAGTGCCCGTTTCTAAACCCTTAGCTCTCAGGTCATTGAACCTGTATTTGCTTATTTGTGGTGGACAAGAGAAGTGTTCTTGACAGTATGTGTATTATACTGCCGTAGAAGTGTATAAACTGTTACGTGACAGATCAGTGGATCTGTGTACATATGTTTATGACATATGATATAATAGTAAAAGCAGTGACATAATGCTCACAAGTGTGACTGAAATGGTTGGAATACCAGCTGTGGTTTTTTTTTGTTTGTTTTGTTTTTTTTTTTTTTTTTTCTAGCAAAGCATTTTTATTTTAAATTGTTAAGTCTGGACCAATAATTTGTTTTTCTCTTCTACAGAGTAGGTTATAAGTGAGTGAGATATGATTAATTATATTGAGATGAAATAATTGAGAAGTATTAACAAATAGTGCAAAAGCTGTTATAAATGCAGTTTGTCGATTAAGATACAGTAACGCTTAACATTTCAGTCTATTCCTGTTCAGGCATCTGTTGCCCTTGTTGTGGAAGTCAGTAGTGAAGAGTAAGAATTTGGGGGTGTGGACTGCATACCTAGCAGTTGATAGTGTCTTAGGGGGAATGTTGGTGCTGGGGGAAGTAGTGAAGAAAGTTAACATCAAACATCAAAGAGCCAGAACTTCCCTGGTGGCGCAGTGGTGGAGAGTCCGCCTGCCGATGCAGGGGACACAGGTTCGAGCCCTGGTCTGGGAAGATCCCACATGCCGCGGAGCGACTAAGCCCATGTTCCACAACTGCTGAGCGCACGTGCCACAACTGTTGAAGCCCACGTGCCTAGAGCTTGTGCTTTGCAACAAGAGAAGCCACTGCAATGAGAAGCCTGCGCACTGCAACGAAGAGTAGCCCCCGCTTGCCGCAGCTAGAGAAAGCCCGTGTGCAGCAACGAAGACCCAACACAGCCAAAAATAAGTAAATAAATAAATTAATTTAAAAAAAAATCAAAGAGCCTTCTCCTTTATTCTGTATACTTGCTTTCCAGAATAAAAGAGCAGTGTGCCCTTGACAGAGTTCAAAATATACTTACCTTCAAAAACTGATAAAATAGGGGCTTCCCTGGTGGCGCCGTGGTTGAGAGTCCACCTGCCGATGCAGGGGACACGGGTTCGTGCCCCGGTCCGGGAAGATCCCACATGCCGCGGAGCGGCTAGGCCCGTGAGCCGTGGCCGCTGAGCCTGCGTGTCCGGAGCCTGTGCTCCGCAACGGGAGAGGCCACAACAGTGAGAGGCCCGCATACCGCAAAAAAAAAAAAAACCAGATAAAATAATAAAATGCCTCTTGAAGCAGTAATGTGAGTCTCTGTTGAGAAAAATTTATGGCAGTCAGCCCCTGTCGTGAACTGTCTTGTCATGCTCTTAAAATACCCTGTTAAAATCCTACTTTTCATAAATTTATTGAGAAGATAAGGTATTTTCTGTCAAGTGTTCTTGGATTTGGAAAAAGAGTGGAATTTTCACAAAGGTTATATTTGTTCCTGTGTCACACTCTTACTATGAACTTAGTTAAAACAACACACATTTGTTACCTCATAGTTGCTCTGGGTCAGGAGACTGGGCACAGCTTAGCTGGGTCCTCTGCAGGGCTGCAGTGCAGGTGCTAGTCAGGGCTGGGGTCTCATCTGAGGCTCGAAATGGGAAGCATTTGCTTGTAAGCTCACACGGTTGTGGGCAGAGTTCAGCCCCTTGTAGGCTCTTGGACTGAGGGTCTCAGTTCTTGGTGATGGTTGGCTAGAAGCCACCCTCAGTTCGTTTCCACGTGATTCTCTCCATAAGCAGCTTTACGTTATTGCAGCTTTTTCAAAGCCGGCAAGAGAGTGTCCCTGGCAAGACTGACATTACATTCCTATGTAAGGTAATCACATTCTGTCACCGTTGCTATATTCTTTTGTTTAGAAGTTAAGTCCCACCCACACTCAAGGGGTTACACAAGGGCATGAATACTAGAAGGCAGGGGACGTGGGCCCACCTTAGAGTCTGTCTGCCACACAGTCCCACCAGTTTTATTCTTATTTCATATAAATCTGAGTTAAAGTTGGATTGCTCGTGGGTTGTCGGTGAATGAATGATGCTGAACCTGAATTGATTCCCGGACTCTTGTCACATGCTGAGCTGTTATGTCAAATCCTTCTCTCATAAATAAAATCGTAAATCAGCATTTCATTTCTAAAAGCCCATTTCATACCAGATAAATAGCGAAATTGAACTCAGAAATCAATGGAAATAAACTACAAATATTTGCTTTTACAAAAATGTATTAAGTAAAACCAAACAATGTTATATGTCATTTTGGGATCTAATTTTCTGATCTGCTAGACTGACTGAGGTGTACACACCCAGTAAGAATTGGACAGTGTGTATCTTCTTGCAGCAAGGTTGGTCTTTATTTAAAAACCCTTTGCTGTGAAAAAAAGGTGCAAAAACTTAAAATACAGCTTAATGAGTTAATATAAAGAGGACATCATGTAACTACCACGTACATTGCCAATATCTCAAAATTTCCTTCTCAATACTCTTTCTGCTCAAAGGTAACCGTTATGCTGACTTTTTTGGCAGCCACTTCCCACTTCCTAATCCTATGAGGGGGTTTTACCTTGCTCCAAAGGCCTTTCTGGCAGAGATTACTTGTCCGCCACACCGGAGTCCGTCCATCCTCCTCGGAGGCATGCCAGCAGATGATGTGGCTCAGTGTCCTTGCAGCCAGGTGTGGCCAAGTGGCAGGTTCCTGTCAGCAGGGTGTGCTGTTGCCAGGGCAGTCCCGAAGACACCTGACTTGCTTCCCAGCTGGCCTTTTTCCTTCCATCCAGTTGGAATCTGAAATGACTCCTTTCCAACCTGCAAATGATAACAGTGTCCTAGAGGACTGTGGACCAACGTGCTGGAGGGACCCCGGGTCCAGAGTGACTTCATGAAACAGCTGTTCCACCAGCTGAGACCACTCACCTCAGAACAAGAGAGAAATAAACTTATGTGGTTTAAACCATTCTATGGGTGGGTCTTTTGTGACTGTGGCTTAGCTTTTTATCTTAACTCTTACACCTTTAAACTAGATTCAGAATTGGGTTCGTCTGACTTGAATTTACATTGTCTTTTTCTTTTTTTTGCGGTACACGGGCCTCTCACTGTTGTGGCCTCTCCCGTTGCGGAGCACAGGCTCCGGACGCGCAGGCTCAGCAGCCGTGGCTCACGGGCCCAGCCGCTCCGCGGCATGTGGGATCTTCCCAGACCGGGGCACGAACCCGTGTCCCCTGCATCGGCAGGCGGACTCTCAACCACTGTGACACCAGGGAAGCCCTACATTGTCATTTTAGTGTTTAGTAATGCCACTGAAAGTCTTTGGGAAATATTGGGGGAGGAAGATTTTTCAGGGTGATTTCAGGGTTGTCAGCTGGCCTGGTGCTATGTGTAACATGCATTTGATTAAGCACATGTTTATTAGACTACATCTCTGTATTTTGCCAGTACCTATAGAAATCAAGTAACGTTTTCTAGTACACATTTATCCAAAATTGTTTTTAACTTAATAGAGCTTAGGGGTGAATATGTTTTTTTTCTAGTAAAATAAGAATAGTTTTATAGACATTACATATTTTTCTTTAAAGGGCCATTTTATTTAATTTTATTCATTTAATTTTTGGCTGCGTTGGGTCTTTGTTGCCGCACGTGGACTTTCTCTAGTTGTGGCGAGCAGGGGCTTCTCTTGTGGATCATGGGCTCTAGGCATACGGGCTTCAGTAGTTGTGGCATGTGGGCTCAGTAGTTGTGGCCCGTGGGCTCTAGAGCACAGGCTCAGTAGTTGTGGCGCACGGGCTTAGTTGCTCCACGGCATGTGGGATCTTCCCAGACCAGGGCTCAAACCCATGTCCCCTGCATTGGCAGGCGGATTCTTAACCACTGTGCCACCAGGGAAGCTCAGGCATTAAAAATTAATACAGGTGTAAGGCTCCTCAAGGTAAATATTTGTCAAAATCCAATTCATTAATGTGAAGTGTGTCTTTAGTCCCACCATCTAGTGGAAATCTTTGCAGTTTCAAGGACAGATAACATAAAGCTAAATGACAAAGTAGATTTATTTTGATTATATTCATTCTGGTCAAGAATAATGTGGATAAACCTTTTTATTTCTATCAAATAAACATAAAATCCTTATGTCCAGTCACTTAGCAAACCCTGCCAGGTGTTGGATTCCAATTCCCACTGCTCTAATTCAAGCCTTCGTGCCTTCTCACTTGAAAATTT